CCTCCAAATTCACAGCTTATAAAATCCAATCAAATCAAAAATTCTATTCTTGATCCAAATCAATTTTGAGATGCTTTACTACCATTCCAAAATCATAAGAGAAAAATACAAAATTTTAATAAAACTTTTCTATACAACCAACTTGATTTAGTGAATATGTCACAATAAAAAATGTCTATATTTGGACAAACTTAGCTATAAAGATAAAGTATACAGAGCACCCATTTAATAAGTCATTCAACACACCCACTACTGCCAATTTATAGAGCACACACAAACAATAATTCAAATATTGAAGTGATAAATGTTTGGTTTATTTTAAGCACTTTCTACCATAGGTCATTGACTTACAAACTAAACAACCTTTTTTCGTAATTTTGAAATTCTCTTTAACGGTCAAAAAGTATGAAGTTTTATTATTTATGGGTGTTAATGTCCACTCGTACACAATAGTACATTTTCATTTAAACAAGCCAACAGTGAGGCTGATGTCCCCCGCTGAAATCCCAAAATAAATAGATGACATATTAATTAATCGCACATTTATTTTTTTCAAAAGTATCGAGCAATCAAACTATACACTAAGTTTCATCATTCTCTATCTGATAGAATCACGATTATCTTGTCCCAAAGCATGCAGTCATCACTCTCACTTAATTAGAATTAAAGTTATCATGTCCCAAAGCATCAACCAATCAGATTGCTTATCTCTGTTTACCATAAGCAAACAATGTTCATCATCGAACTCTATCAAGGCATTCACCTAATGAACGGCTACACCAAGTTTGAACATTCTAGCTCAATTAGGAAGAGAGTTATCGTGCCCCAAAGTATCAACCAATCAAATTGTTTATCTCTGCTTACCCTAAGCGGAAAATGCTCATCTTCGAACTCCATCAAGGCATTGACCTAATAAACACATACACCAAGTTTGAACATTCTAGCTCAATTAAAAGTTATCGTGTCCCAAAGCATCAACCAATCAAATTGCTTATCTCTGCTTACCCTAAGCGGAAAATGCTCATCTTCGAACTCCATCAAGGCATTGACCTAATCAACACATACACCAAGTTTGAACATTCTAGCCCAATTAGGAAGAGAGTTATCGTGTCCCAAAGCATCAACCAATCAAATTGCTTATCTCTGCTTACCCTAAGCGGAAAATGCTCATCTTCGAACTCCATCAAGGCATTGACCTAATAAACACATACACCAAGTTTGAACATTCTAGCTCAATTAGGAAGAGAGTTATTGTGTCCCAAAAAGTGTGACGGACAGACAGACGGACGGACAGACGGACAGACAGACGGACAGACAGACAGACGGACGAACCCATTTTAATAGTCCCCTGCTTTCTTCGAAAGGCGGGGGACAATAATTTGGTAGCATGCAGCGTCCGTGGTAGTGTAGGGACTGGAATTCCCTGGGAGAATTCACATGGTTAGGAAGGGGACACTATCCCTTGATACAAATACAGGATTGGAATCACAACACTTGCTTGCACTGATGACTGACCATATCATCTGAAGTGCATGTGTTTGGAGAAACAATGTTATGTACAGAAAGATTGAAGGATTCATTTATATAGTTATCTTGAATTTAAAAATATTGTCGCTCTGGCTAATAATCTGACTATAGCACAAGGTACTCCTATAAAATATTTAATTGGAAGAAATTGTTGTGGAACCCAGATAGCAGGGCCTAAAATAAGGTTAAATTCTCAGAGCACGGATTTAGAGTCGACCGCCCGCGAGCGCCGCAGGCGCGAAACGCGCCGGCGGATGGTCTGAGGGGCCTCTCCCAGAAAATTTTGAAAATTGAGAGCTTGAAACCGGCATCTGTGGTGGTGCAGTTTACATAGGAATTTATTTTGTCGCGAGCAGCTTTTTTCGCATGAAAACTAAGCACTAGGAAGACAACACACCACTTTCGTTACGATAATACAGAACTGTAAGTCAATTTGAGCTCCGGTTCCCCATTCATATTTCAATTCTTAAAATCGCAGATAAAATACGTGAAAATAAGTCAAAAACAACCTTTTTCAAAGTGAAAGTGAAATGACGGTCATGGTCCCAGCGGAGCGGACTGGACTGGATACCAAGCCTACTGAAAAACCTGACTAGTATGCGAGTCGCGAGTGAGCGCTGATCTGATCTGATCTTTGCAACTGACCACACCACAAGAACACAAGAAGAAACACCCAATTAGGGGTCAGGAGGCATCGCTGACTACACTTTTTTAGAGCACTACACCATTTTTCGGAGCACGGTTTTCTTATTTTCGAAAACAGATTTTTCATTTCGAGGCACGTTCGTGCTCCAAGGCACGTTATTTTAGGCCCTGCCAGATAGTACCGATACTGTCATATCATATAATATAATTAATGAATTTATAGAGGGCTCGAAATACCACATACCATACTACTCTATGGTACTACTGAATTGTCACACATGGACCTCTGAATTTTTATCCCATCCAAACAACAAGATACTATTCCATGCCAGGTTTAAACCCAGGACCTCATAGTTAGTAACCTGGAGCCACTCAACGAACCACTGTAACACCCTCAAATACAACACATGAAATGAAATGGGTTTTAACATCCTACTGTTCTGCTCCGAACTGGGCTAATGAAGAGGGGCAAATAAAATACAGATATTAATAAATAAAAATTCAACAATTTAATGCCTTAACATAGATTAGCTTTACAACTTGAAATGAAATGGGGTTTAACATCCTACTTTTCTGCACAGACTGGGCTAGTGAAGGTAGTGAAGGCAGTCTTACTACTTGTACACAATTTGTGCAGACAATAAAAATCTTAGAGAATGTTTTTTTCTATCTTCATAAAACAGCGAGAAAGAGAGTATTAGATATTAGCTTTGTTGTATATCAACACAACAGTGACAAGCAATTTATACAAACAAAATAAGTACATGTTAAAAGTTTCAATTTTTATTCAAATACTTTGTTGACATTTTGATCTTTTTTCTCAGCTTACAAGTAAACTGTTTAAAGTCTGCAGATTGATTTAAAAATCTTTAAATATGTATTCTGTGGATAACTATGGATAGGGACATGTTTAATATCCACTCAGCACTCACTAGATTCTTTGTGAACTAACATAAGGTATATTTTTATATCAATAATCCGCTTGTTTGCAATTAATGCTCTATAGAAGTAGGACAGACTCACGGCCACCGGGCCTACTCATGTAAGTACAACCGATTCAAATTCCAAAAACAAACTTAATTTGAAGGTCAACAGCATTTCTTAAATCAAGTACAGTGTTTCAAAATAGGCCTTTCCCTTTCAACAAGCTAAACAACCTTCTAAAGTTTAAAACAGATCCCATGATAATTGTGACCTCTAAAAGAATAACTCCGAATGGTCAAGAATCCTACAAGTCAACTGACATTTTTCAGTCAAAATTCTGATTAGAACAACCTATTAAAATTTCAAAAATATTTCATAATTGTGAACTATTGAGTTTATTTTTTTTTATATACGGACCTGATTATCTTAGAAAGAAACATGACATATTATGCAGAGGTGGGTAAAGTTAGTAAGGGTCCCCTATACCCATACATCAACTAATTTTTCTCTTCATATTAACAGTAATAAGTCTCAAGATGTACCTATGTACAAATCAATTTACTGTAGGTCAAAATCTTCTAAGTCTATAGATATGTGTTTATCCTCGACTTCAAAACTATGTTAATACTCATCTTGTGTAGTTTTAACAGAGAAGATTTAATATGTAAAGAAACAAAGGTAAATTCTTTTAAAACATTACACAACAGTTTGTCTTATCTTTCATAATCCTAGTTTTAACAAAGCTTTATGTACATCATGGTTACTCCTCATCATTCTTAACAAAACATGCTTATATAAAGATAAACATTGTACTACCATTTTCAACATTTTTATCATGCTATCTTCTCTTTAACATAATAACATAATACTTGAATATGTCTTTCATAAAAAACACAATTTCTTTGTAATTCCAGATAACTAAAACAGCAGTCAATTTTAAAGCATAAATATAGTCAACCAGTTTGAGAACTTGACACAGTAGGATTTCGGATAAAACAGTCACCGACTGTTAAGTTCTTCCATCCTTAAATAAGACAATTCATCTCTATATTTCCTTCTACCCAAAAGGCACATATATAAGATAGGTTGCCATGCAACAAACATAAGTCTACAACAAAACAGCTAAACTGTCCGAGCAGTCCATATTGAATGTGTATATTTAGTAGACCAATCTCCCGCATATTCATGACTAGAGCAACTACAAGATATTTTAGGGTCGTCAGGTTGTTCCAGGACCATGAGCTTTAAATGAATATCAAAAATGTTTGAAAATCAACAAGCTTCATTGCTTTATAAACATTACCATTACAAATCAATTCCAAGTCAATCTGATATTAACTTTAGCTGATAGAATGTTCAGAAGATGTTGTAAAGTTATCAAGGGCCAAAATACGTCGAAATTCAATCAACTTCTTTGTCTTATATCAAGACTGTATAAATATAAAGCTAACTGGATGATATTGATAACTTCTAAAGTGTTCATAAGTTATAGTGGATGATGGACTGGGTGACAGACAATAGTGACTACATTTAATGTGACCATCTAAAATATGGCTGTGCTCTTTGGGCAGCGTAAGTTGGGGCCCTTTTTATGAATTAAACAGAGGTAATCAGGCTTCAATTTCATTCTTGAGACCTGGGTAATATAACCGTATCATGCTCTGTCTGACTTGGTGAATGTCAAGTAACATAATTATAAATGTATACATTATTAGAAGTGGGAGGAAACCAGAGGACCCGGAGAAAACCCACGAGGTTGGACAGGCGACCCTACTCCTTGTTGAGTCAATGACAGGCCTTATGATACAACGCGCACGTTCTAACCACTCGGCCATCCAACCCCCCTTCTGTATAAGAAGTTTTTATGTTTGCATGCTGTGTGTTATTATGTAGTGAAATCTTACCATTATCCCGACTTTCAATGTCATTGTTGTTGTTATTGTTGTTAACAGTATCGAAAACACCTTGAACACTAGGTCGAAATTTCTTGGGAGTGAGAATATTTAATGAACTACTATGTGAAGGGTCATACCCACTGTCCAGCTCACTATCAGCTAAAATATGAAATAAAAATCTAGTTAAAATTAATTTTAAAAAATAACCCCGAATTAACGGATATCCCAGTCATTTCAAATTTCCCAAAAAATTTTCACTATCCAGTATTAAAATAGTTTCAAAAAGTATGATTTTATTGGTGTAATCTTTAAAAACAAATGGAATTCACCTATTGGTATGCAGAGTTTGCCATTTTTTGAAAAGGAACATCATCACAATTGGCTTTATTTTACAATGATTTAAAAATAAAAACCAACAAAGTAAATACATGATAAAAATTTTGTAGTTAATTTTAAATAGTCACAACAACTTTTTTTTTCTACAGAAGAAAAAAAGAAAATCTACCAAAAAGTCCAAAATGCAGCTTTATGAAATGATGTGTCAAGGGAGACAACCAATAATAACCCTCATAAATTATCTCCCTTTAGTCTTCAAGAAAATGCTTAAAAGACCATGTTCACTGAAAGTAATGAACTAATTCACTGGTAGAAACAAACTGATATTTACATTATTTGGATTCTTATAAGGATTTGGGGTGAATTCATTTAGTAATATGGACAGATTTAATTATAATATATAAATGACTTACAATAACTCTTTCTCTTGTAGAAGGTTCTTACAACCTTAGCACTTCCGAAACGTTTAAACTTTCTACTAACACTTGAATAGAACCATTCACAAGATTGTCTCTTTAAATCACTAAAATAAAAGAAAAAATGGTTGAGGGCCATAAAATGAGTAGATGAGGGCCATGGATATTTTTTGGTACCAATATAGTAAGCACCGATAGTATTTCAATCTATTTGTTTCAATATAGACTATCGAAATATGTTGATTTGATCTAATGTGTTATTTTAATTAAAATGGGATATGATCTGTAAATAAAAATATTTTGCAGAAATTTGTGGATACTAATGAAACTCAAACTCAATTTGACCTTAGATACAGATTTATATATTTGATAGCCTCATAGACAAACATCGAGTCAATTGAATTCAAGCTTCTTGATCAGCAATGAACCTGAATGAAACAGTCTGAAAAACATCTTTCGTATGTGGGTAACAACTATTAAAGTTTCAATATATTCAATGAAAACTGTAAAACCATTAACTTTAAATTTTCAAGTACTTGAAATTTTGAGCTCATAAATTGCAAATTATTTTACTGAAAGTTTCAAAATATGAAGTGCAAAACTTTAGTATTTTTGTAACAATGATGAGAAGTTTCCAGACAATCCATAAAGACTGTAAGAATTCTTATTCCACAAATTCATTACATGGACTCATAATGTATGATATCGTAATACAGTCTATTTGAAATATGGCACATAAAGATACAGGATTGACTGGCAATGAAGTAATTATCTCCTCATCAAATCCATGATATTTCTTGAGCTAAAACATTTTTGGAAACATTCCAATGATCTTAATCTTTATAACCACATAAAAGTCCAACATGTAACAATCATAATATAAAAATTTCAGGTTTTTTTTTTTTTGCTAGGCCTGGTCAAAGGAATATTTAAGCAGTGACATCATTTTAATAGGCTAATTCATGTATATTTACTTTCTCATCTTTCTACCCGATAAACATTAATATTTACCAAAACCTGGCAGAAAATGGAAATTCAAACAATTCTTTGAACAAAAAGAGGTCAATAAAAATTGTCACAGAGAACCAGGGAAGTGAGAGAAAGAGAATAGCTATAAAAAGAGGCACTGCATTCTCCCATCATTAGATCAGTGAAAGTAATTACTAGACTTTGTCCAAATTAACCAGTAAAACAATGTCTAAGACAGGAATTTCTTCACAATTTAACTGCCGAAAAAGGAAATCACTTGAGGTATTCATAAATGGATTCAACTTGATAAATAAAATGGCCATTACATTTACAAAAGATCCACTGAAATTAATTTTTTTCTGAAGTTTTCACGAGATTATGTAAGAAATAATTCTACCAAAGAAATAAAGTCTTAAATACAATGTTGACCAAATATCTGTTTAAGATGTCCCCCGATATATTTTGGAGAATAAAACTGGATAATTTAGAGTAAAAGATTGTTGTCAACCTTTATCCTAGTTCTGTGCAAATATTTGATGCTCTGTGATTTAAAAAAAATAAAAACTTTTAGTTTCCATGTGGGGTTGACAATATATCTCCAATTTAATTGTTGTGACAAGTCACCGGATAACCATTCATATTATACTCAAGTAATTGCATTAACACACATAATAAACACAAAAACATAATATGGAACACAATTACTCTTTTATTTAAAGCGACATTTCATTTTACTGAAACCGGAAAACAATAATAAATGATTTCCACCACTAGTTTCTAAGAATTATCGATACGTCAATTTGTTGAAATTTGTTCCATGGGCAACATTCAAAGCCTTGGTGGGCTGGATCTGGCCTGTGGGCCGCATGTTTGACACCTCTTCTCTAGATAATCTACAAATTATTAAGATGACAACTCAGCACATTTTCAGAAATTGTTGAAAATTCCACAGACCTTTTCTTCATTATAATTTATGAATCGCCGAGACAATGAGTGACAGGCGGTTGGTCAGACAGACAGAAGGACAGACAAACAAACAGACATGTCTGGTAGAAATACAAGATAACGTTGCAATGTGGGCATAATAATGGAAGTAGTTTTATATACGGAAATAGAGGTTACATACGTAATCTTTGTGCTGATGCAATGAGGTTTAGTTGCATACAGGGCAATACAGGCACTTGACCGGCATACAAGTGCATGGGAATCTCAACTTCCGGTGAATGCATTTGAGGAAACATTTTTCAAGCAGCAAGCTACGTTGATAGTGTTTTTGTGATTTTATATTAGTGAACTCACTCTCTAACAACATCAGGGGTTGGATATTGTTATTCATATTGCCTCTTTTAGTGTGAATTAAGTCCACTGGTTAAGGAACAGAGTTAGGGTAATTATTAATTGTTGCCAATTTGAATAGTCATGTTTTAGTCATTTTATATAATAAATTGATATTTCACACCACCAGCCTGAGTTCTTTTTGTATAGGCCGGGGGAGATTTTGTCGGAGACTGAAAACATGTATAAGCATTTTTACTTGTTACTGCATCCTATTCACTTATATTTTTTAAAATGAAATGTAATGGGATTTAACGTCCTACTGTTCTGCTCCGAACTGGGCTAATGAAGATGGCCATACGCCATACAGTGTGTTATGCGGGAAATTTTGCCCTGACAGCAGCACTACAGCCTACTCTAATATCGAATTTCAACTGTCAAGAGATCTTTTATGTGTCAGCAGATCTGTGATTTGAGTTGTTCAGCACCTAAGAAATGCTTAAACAGACATTGTGTTTTTCCTTTTTATAGACATATGTGAATATTCAAAGCGTTAGAAAGTACTAACATGGCAATGATTGGAAAAATTATCATGTGAAAGCCAAATATCAATACATGTCACTCTGAACTATCGTACTAACTTTAAAGGCTAACAAACCAATATTCATGTATACTGTCATTGCACACCTATTTTTTTTTGTTATAACATGAGAAATCCAAAATTTGTTGTAGAAAAATTAACGAATCCTGTTATATCCGGAGACCATCAAAAATTATAACATAGATTAGCGTTTATATTTCATGGTAGGTGAACATCAGCAGTAAACAACAATTCAGCAGTTTTTTTTGTACATTGTTGAAATATTTAAGTTTAGGTTTTAGTTACAGGATGTATAAAATAATATTGAAATATTTCTACTTATACATTTTATTTAGGTTTTAGTTACAGGATGTAAAAAAAAACATCGCTGTTAAAAGTTATAAACATAGATGTAGATTGGTCAGGGCCACTAGGAAATTAACCAGTAGCAAGTTGTCTGGCTAACGTAACTTCAATTAGTCAGATAGGATTTTAATAACTTCTTCTTATATCATGATCATGTTCACAGGTCAAAATATGTCTGGGAAGATCATCTTTAAAGGAGCTAAATCGCAAATATTTGGGGCCTAGAAATTAATCTAAATGGGTCGCAACGCATATAATAATGTAATCTGATTGTATATAAACTGATTTACATTCAATTGTTTCCGTTTCAGTTACGTCCAGCGAAATACGGTCATGAGTCTCAACCGAATAAAATTTTTTAGCGTCTGGTTATTCCAGTCTATTGCGCTTGCTCTCCAGGTGTCACTATTTGACATGAGGTGTGGAATATGTCTAGCCTCGTTCTTCCTGGTCACTTGTTACAAATGATGCTGAAACGCACTATGGTACACGATTCGTGTACCAATGGTAAAATGTTTATTTTGTCTTAAATATTGGATATCAGAAGCCTACAGTTTCCCGGTAAGATCACAACATTAATGTTGATTTGAATTGGCAAATAATTTGTGTTTTCCACGTGTAAGGCTTTGGATGATATTGAGTTAGAGACTTAGCTACTTTAAGATATTATATCACTATTATCTGAACAGAAATATAATATTTTATTTAAAAAAAAACACGAAGTCTAAATCCTGTTTAAAATTTAAAATTAAACCACGACTAACACTTGAAAAGAAAAAATCCAATGTGAGCTGAGAGGACAGACTGACAAAAAAAAATAAAACCTATCAATTAACACTTGACAGCGCAAATTATATTTATCTTAAATTTCATGATAAATTATACATACCGTTGTTCAAGACAAAAATTACAAGCGTAGCCTCGAAACTCCGAAAAGTAGGTTCTGCAACCTTTACAAACATAAAATTCACAGAATCTACAAAGTTGACGTCTGTTAAAAATGAAGCCAAATGTCTGAAAACATCGAATACAACAATTTTCATTAAATTTCTTTTTTTCTGCAAGAATAGTTGTCTTTGTCTCCTCTTGTTCTACTTTTTCTTCAAGTTGACTGAAAAATAGAACAGAACCAAGGCAATCTGATTAAAACATCGATACAAATATTGTTTGTTTTTTTTGTATACTTTTTATGGACACCACTAAATGGCACTGATATAGATTTGCACTTGCCATTTTGCATTATTCGTGAAATGTATTCTGTTTTATTTTGAGTTCTTCGTTACAACACTGCCCCTATATGGGAAATATATACCTGTGCAATTAGTAGTTTTGATACCGATATAAATTTTGTTTCTTTGTTCTTGTCATTAAAATTTGGTAAAATATATAGAGAATCTCCTACCAGTCTTTTTTTATATCATTTTTTGACAGCAATTCAATCATTGCAAAGTCCTTTATATTGACCCAGTGTTTCCATCAAGGTCAATTGAATAACAATAGTTCATTTTTTTAAAAAAAAAAGTTACTTTTTATAAGAAATAAACTGTTCTTTGAAAATAAAAAATGTAGTTCCTTTTCAACTGACCAATCAAATTCATGTAAAGCGATATCTCCTAAGGAGATATCGCAGTAGTTTATGAAATATATCACACAAGCGATATCTACTGTAGAATGTATTATTGGGTGATAAATTTTAATATTTTAATGGCATTTATCTAATTAGTCACTGGACAGAGTAATAAAAACATATAATTATCAAACACAGCTTTTATATTTAGGCAACTTTTTGAAAAAGTATTCTATCCATGTTATCAAGCTACTATAGCATCATGTTATTTACCTCAGATCTGTAATGCTGTATTAGCTCAATAACGTTTAGAGAATACACTTTGAAACATCGCGTATATATATTACTAGTTGTTTTGTTTAATAAAATATACATGTACATTATTTAATTACTACCGGTAATCAATGTATATTTCATGATATTTTAATAAATAAATAAGCATTTCAAATGTCAATTCTAACTGTAGTTACTATCAAACTGAAGGATACTAGAAAATGTAGGATAAAAAATTGATTTTTTATTTCCTCAAAATTATGAAACCTATCTCTTTATTGTTTATCCCATTTAGTAAATGCCAAGCAAGCAGAAACTGGTGCCAAAATCATTGAGAATTTACAAATGTCATCAGGACTATAATAGCAAAATTTGCTATTTAATCTAATTAACTGACATTTAGGTAGTGAGAAATTTTGTTGGTTTCTTTTTTTAAGCAAGTTGTATTTAATTTAATTTAAGATATTATACAAGAATGTTTAAAAAAAAAAATCTAAATACTGAACGTTAAACTAATTGCTGTCTGGGTCTGTAGAATAAAGAACAGATTTTTTACGTCTAATGTGAATCCCATGTCCATGGAGTATATATTATAGTGTCAGTCATTTCTTTCTCATTATATTTGTAGTGTATTATCATCTTTAAAAATTAACCAGTGCTCAATACCAAATATAATATCTTGTTCACTTTATTTAGTTCAACCAGTTTGAATTCAGAATTGTCAATCAAGACAGGTTAAATCGTCGAGTAGTCAAGAGGTTAAGTAGTCAATCAAGGTAGGTGTTTAATACTATCAACAATAATCAAGATTTGTTATAGTTATCACCTCAATACATTCAATATTTTTTTTAATTTTGAAAATCCATGTAGGACAATGTGTCTGTCATACAGGCGAAACAGAATCTCTGATGGATACGATTCTTCTCGGGCTACGTCAAACATGGGACGTTCTGATTCTGAATAGGGTATGCACACATCCACAGTAGTCTTCTTGCCATGAAAACATATATTGGATTAACTTCAATTTTTTTCAGTGGAATACATTTTTCACTTTTAATAAATTGCAACATTTGCAGGAGAGCAACGTATTCACCATCTGCTTAATGAGGCCTACATGTATGCAAAGTTGAACATCCTTCAACAATTTGAGTTAAATCTCTTTTATTTTACCATCAAATAAGAAAAAAGTTTCCATGAACGAAGGTAATTGAGGAATGTGGAACATGTAGAAATGAAATCAATAATGATGGGTTGTTGTAAAGTGAGTTGTTATTCTGTAATCAAGTTGTCACAATCCTGCAGGAAATAACACTTCATCAACATTAAATGATAACAAAAAATCATAGTGGCAAAAGATTGCTCGACAACTGCAACTAATGAGAAGTTTAATATACTGAAAAATAGACTTGGTTAAATAATGTAAAGATAGGTTGCCATAAAATAATAGTAATCATTATTCACAGCTTCCTTTCACAAGTCTTTATTCACAATGTCAATGTCTGTCTCATCTTTAGATCTGAATTCACACAGTGTTTTTGATCCACCTAAAAGTGTAAATAGAAAATCTGTCTTGCTGGTCACAATTACCTTAACTTTCCACCTATTTTGTTTTGTGATCTAATAATTAGAACTACTGGACATTTCAAAGCAAAACAAAGTGAATGTACGTAACATTTCAAAGAAATTATGAAATGAGAATGTGTCTAATTTAGGCCATATATAAAACAAAAAAAATTATTCTGGTCTTCATTTCAGTTAGGCCTGTACGATATTGCAAAAAGGGACGATATCGATATTGGCATTTTTTCCAACGATATAGTTAAATATCACGATATTTAATAATAATGTCACTTTGCTATTAAATAAATTAAATATAAATGCATTAAAGCTGACTACAGTGTGAGTAAGAATTGCTTTATTCATACACTTTAAATTTTGCTTTTTTTATAATATAGATTTATTAAAATGAACAAAACAACATCCTTTTTGGATAAAGATTAAATACAACCGCTGATGTTTAAAGATAGGTTGCCAGGCAACGAAACATACGCCACAGCAGCTAAATCGTCCGGGCAGTCAACAAGAGTTGTCGCATATTTTTACTTTTTTCGGTAATGCAACATTTATAATACACTAAAATCTGATTAAGAGCAACAACTCAGAAAACCATTAGAATTTATTTGGTTTTTATAAAGTTCTGCCCCATGCTAATGTTTTGTATACAAAACTTTTAATACTGTATCATGGATTTAGCTGTTCCAAGTCATAAAAATTCATTGAAAATCAATATACTTGTTCGTCTCAAGATCTTAAACTCTGTGTATCAATCTGAAGTCATTTGGATATTAACTTTGGCCTCTAGACCGTCCGCAAGATTTTTCAAAGTGATCAAGGGCCATAACTTTGGCAGTAATTATCAGAAACCTTTGAAAATCAATAGGATTCTTCGCCTCTTGACCTCAAACACTGTGTATAACATTAAAGTCAATCAGATATTAACTTTAGTCTTTAGAGTATCCACAAGGTTTTTTGAAGTGATCAAGGGCCATAACTCTGGCAGTAATTATCGAAAATCACTGAAAATGAATAGACTTCTTCATCTCATGACCTTAAACGCTGTGTATAAAATTTAAAGTCAATCGGATATTAACTTTAGACTCTAGAGCGTCCACAAGTTTTTTCAAAGTGATCAAGGGCCAGAACTCTGGCAGTAATTATCGTAAATTGCTGAAAATCAATAGGATTCTTCGTCTCATGACCTTAAGCACTGTGTATAAATTTAAAGTCAATAGGATATAATAACTTTGGCCTCTCGAGAGTCCACAAGATTTTTTTGAAGTGATCAAGAGCCATAACTCTGGAAGTAATTATCAGAAATTGCGGAAAATCAATAGGCTTCTTCGTCTCATGACCTTAAACACTGTGAATAAATCTAAAGTCAATCGGATTTTAAATTTTTCCTCTAGAGCCACCACAAGATTTTTTGAAGTGATCAAGGGCCATAACTCTGGCAGTAATTATCGGAAATTGCTGAAAATCAATAGGCTTCTTCTTCTCATGACCTTAAACACTGTGTATAAATTTAAAGTCAATCGGATATTAACTTTGGCCTCTAGAGTGTCCACAAGATTTTTTGAAGTGATCAAGGGCCATAACTCTGGCAGTAATTATCGGAAATCGCTGAAAATCAATAGGCTTCTTCGTCTCATGACCTTAAACACTGTGTATAAATTTAAAGTCAATCGGATATTAACTTTGGCCTCTAGAGCGTCCACAAGATTTTTTGAAGTGATCAAGGGCCATAACTCTGGCAGTAATTATCGGAAATCGCTGAAAATCAATAGGCTTCTTCATCTCATGACCTTAAACACTGTGTATAAATTTAAAGTCAATCGGATATTAACTTTAGCCTCTAGAGCATCCACAAGCAATTGTGGACGCACGGACGGGGGCGACGACAATACAGACCACATTTCAATGTGGGCGTATAAAAAGCATCTGCTTGTGACCTTGTGTAAGAAAATTCTCAAATATCAAGTGCAGTGGAAGTAAGTAGATGCGGTCTTCAAGTCTTGTATTGTAAGTTCAAACAGTTTAACAAATACTAAATGATCCGGACTATCTTCCATTCAAGCATTCGATTGGCTGCGGTATTTTGAAGTGATCAAGGGCCATAACTCTGGCAGTAATTATCGGAAATCGCTGAAAATCAATAAGCTTCTTCGTCTCATGACCGTAAACACTGTGTATAAATCTAAAGTCAATCGGATATTAACTTTGGCCTCTAGAGCGTCCACAAGATTTTTTGAAGTGATCAAGGGCCATAACTCTGGCAGTAATTATCGGAAATCACTGAAAATCAATAGGCTTCTTCGTCTCATGACCTTAAACACTGTGTATAAATTTAAAGTCAATCGGATATTAACTTTGGCCTCTAGAGCGTCCACAAGATTTTTTGAAGTGATCAAGGGCCATAACTCTGGCAGTAATTATCGGAAATTGCTGAAAATCAATAGACTTCTTCGTCTCATGACCTTAAACACTGTGTATAAATTTAAAGTCAATCGGATATTAACTTTGGCCTCTAGAGCATCCACAAGCAATTGTGGACGCCGGACGGGGGCGACGACAATATACGACCACATTTCAATGTGGGCGTATAAAAAGCATCTGCTTGTGACCTTGTGTAAGAAAATTCTCAAATATCAAGTGCAGCGGAAGTAAGTAGATGCGGTCTTCAAGTCTTGTATTGTAAGTTCAAACAGTTTAACAAATACTAAATGATCCGGACTATCTTCCATTCAAGCATTCGATTGGCTGCGGTATTTTGAAGTGATCAAGGGCCATAACTCTGGCAGTAATTATCGGAAATCGCTGAAAATCAATAGGCTTCTTCGTCTTATGACCTTAAACACTGTGTATAAATTTAAAGTCAATCGGATATTAACTTTGGCCTCTAGAGCGTCCACAAGATTTTTTGAAGTGATCAAGGGCCATAGCTCTGGCAGTAATTATCGGAAATCGCTGAAAATCAATAGGCTTCTTCGTCTCATGACCTTAAACACTGTGTATAAATTTAAAGTCAATCGGATATTAACTTTGGCCTCTAGAGCGTCCACAAGATTTTTTGAAGTGATCAAGGGCCATAACTCTGGCAGTAATTATCGGAAATCGCTGAAAATCAATAGGCTTCTTCGTCTCATGACCTTAAACACTGTGTATAAATTTAAAGTCAATCGGATATTAACTTTAGCCTCTAGAGCATCCACAAGCAATTGTGGACGCCAGACGGACGGACGGGGGCAACGACAATATACGACCACATTTCAATGTGGGCGTATAAAAAGCATCTGCTTGTGACCTTGTGTAAGAAAATTCTCAAATATCAAGTGCAGCGGAAGTAAGTAGATGCGGTCTTCAAGTCTTGTATTGTAAGTTCAAACAGTTTAACAAATACTAAATGATCCGGACTATCTTCCATTCAAGCATTCGATTGGCTGCGGTATTCCTGGCCTAACAGTGACAGTAATATATTTATAGATCGTTTTATTCTTGCTTTCAGAAATTAAGTTTCGTAGAGTTTTCGTTTTTTAAAAATATGATAACCTATTTATAGCCTTGTAATTAACCGCGGTAGTGGGAAATTTCAGGCGTTTATTAGGTCTAAGCTTTACATGTAGTAACAACTGACAATTTATTGTCGACTAAAAGTAACGCATACACGATGCAGTGAAAAACGGCTGCGGACACCGCCCAAGTGTTTTCAACATTTAACGATTCTCAAAATATTAGTTTTATTATAGTTTATTGCCGTCGGATAATTTCCGCTGCTGTATAGTGTATTTATTATCTGTTTTTATGATAAATTTTTTTGATATTTGAAGTCTTTGGCGATATTCGATAAACCACTATATTGACGATTTTTGGCCAAATGATATCGTAGTTGGGTCTGAAAATACCATAACGTGATAAATGACTATATCGAGAATATCGTACAGCCCTAATTTCAGTCACTTTCAAAAATTAAAAACAATCTCATTAATTACCTCAATGTGTACAGTAGGTTCATTTATCAAGTATTCAACCCTGATAAATTTTACTGGAAATCATAAATGATACTGGATAATCATATTATCCTATAAACAGGTTGAGGGGATAAATGTAATGCCTTTAAATATGATGTTTGTAAGTTGTCATTTAGCCCAGTATTGATCCTTTGACAAAATAAAACACAATAATATAAACCCCCTCCCACATCAGGTTTTTGGGAAGGATTGTCTGAGAATCAGAAACATATCTTCAATTCACTTATTGATTTAATTCATTACAATCGAACTAAACTATAAATCAAGAAGACAGTAAAAATACATACCCAAGTCTGGCCTTTTCCTTCTGTCTTAAATCAAAATCTTTTTGGATAACCTGAAGGATTCTCTCACATTCTGCATCAGAGAGATGATCTATATTTACCCGTCTGCCCATGATGATGAACTGATCAGCTAGTTGGTCAACTTATGATGAGTGAATGACAGTAGTTATATACTTTATCAGTAACACTTTTAGTTATTCAGCAACACAGTTTTAAAATTCATGTGGGAATTAAACGAATCAATACTTGAACACTTAATTCACCACATCTTTCCATTACGATAGTCAGCACTCAATTCTTTGTAGACCTACTGCTTCACAATTTTTGCAACTGAACTAAAATAATCTGAAAAGAGAAAAAATGCACCAAATCAGGATTTTATATTACAAAGCACAGAATATGCAAGTGACATGATTTTGTAAGAACATGTGTGTATCTGTATTAAATAAATTGCAAAATTTGTCAGTGTGTCAAACCATACTTTGAACTTGTGTGTGTAAAATTTTTTGACTTTTGTGCTTGTTCATAGAGAGAAATGAGGATTTGAGACTAATTTATGGTACAGTTTTATGTCAATAATTAGCTTGCACCTAGGGGTCTTTAGCAATAGTAGGAAAATGGAGGACCTAGAGAAAGCCTGCAACATTAGGCAGGTGACCATCTTTTATTCTAACCCTTTATTTTAACCAATCTATTTCACAACAGCAATATAAACTACTCCCACATTAAGAAACTCAATTTTAAAATTTTATATTTGAGAATGACACATTATCTACATTTCTGAATACAATTTCAAAACATAAATACAGAATATATTTACTACTAATAACAAGGGACAATCATCAAAGTTGTCTTAACTTTATTGTGTTAAATTTCTTAGAAAAATTTTAACAGGAAAATATGCCACAGAGAATACAGATAATCATTGAAGCAAATAAAGATGACAGGATAAAAATACTGAAATCACATCTCCAGCAGAAATCAGTTCAGCACCCATTTGGTTTTTATTTCAAGCTGACTATGTATCATTCAGAAATAAATTTTACAGTATGGAATCGAAATGCTATTAAAGAGAAAAATAATTTACAAAATTTAATTGCCGCCATGTCAATCATCTAAGGGACTATTTTTATTAGCAGTAGCAACCAAATGGAGGCTTGCTTTCGGTCAGTATCGTGAAGCCAATCAATGACATAATTTTGACCCACTCTGTATGATAAATTCCAGCTCTGCACAATATATACAGTCTTACAACGAGACCTTAAAAAATAAAAGAGTATTGTGCTATTGACAGTCTACATTATTACATGTCATGAGATTAGCAGAATTGAGGCAAGTTTCACAGTAAATTTGTGGAGAATAAAACTTGGTGCAGAAGACACTATTAAACAGTAGATGCCCTTCAGGAAGATAACACTTAATCCAAGTTACGTCTTCCTGTGTATTCTATAATAGAACTGTATTTATATCCAATACATTCATAAAGCAGGAAACAGTCCGCAAAATAAGTACAAAGAAATTATCTTCTTCATTGACTTTTTCTATAATGGGCTTTTATATTTTCTAGAAACATGTAAAATTTGTATCGATCCCTCAATATAATCAACGAATTTGTTCAGATCATTGTTACTTTTAATTATGAAGATTTCAACATACAAATAAACTTGCTTCCTCACAGACGGATCAATAGTTAAAGAAAGGGTGGGTAAACTAACAAGCCATTCCATAAGGTTCATGTCAATACAGGTGCTTATCAACTATAGAATATGGCAATTATTGTTCGGTTCTGAACAAGTGCTATTTCATTACAGAAATCTTTCTGATTTATTGTTTCTTATGTAAATTAATCTAAGCTGTTTTAAGTGGTTGCTATGGTTTTTATTTTCATCATTACCAACTGTAATAAACACAGACCATACAAAAACACCCCAAACAAATGCATTTTATCAGAATACATATTAAAACAAGACAGTATGTAACACATACATTTATTATTAATCTATGCTAACTGTTAATGCTAAACATAATAGAAAAACCAAATTCAATATGATCAAAAGTTTTTTCAACAATAGAACATTATTGTCTGATTGTATGGACTCTAGTTCCAAACAGATTCAAAACATTTCATATTCAATTCTATCTACTGATGACAAATCTGAAAGAAATCAGTAAGCCTATCTGGATCATGCTAAGATCAAGTAGCACAAAACCTTTGAGGTTACTGAATAACTAATGTCATAAAACTATCAGTTTACCACCAATCAACTGGAATATCATCCAGTATTAAATCTCATGGTTTTACAAAAATATTAATACCTTCTGAAGATCAATCATTTTTATATCAGTAACTATTAAATTATTTAGATTTTTGGTAATCTGACAAATAAGATGATTGTATATTGGTGAAATTTGAATTTTTAGACTGACAGGGCTCCAGAACCGAACCTTGAGGAACACCATGTGTAAGCATGGACCTTATCCATGGTGTAAGTTTAACCAATCTAGTATACATCTTCTTTGATTGGCATTTAGTAATTGAACATATTAACATAAGGTACAATTTTATGGATACACAATTACTGAGTTTAATACTAAGCGATGCTTGATAAAAAGGAGAGTATCCTCGTTGCTTAGTATTAAACTCAGTAATTGTGTATCCATAAAATTGTACCTGTATATATACATGTTTATGATATATTTCAGTTAATAAAACTGGTTAATTCTGTGTAGAAATCTTTCACATGGCTGTACCTAATTTAAACTGTACCTTTTAGAAAAGGTATTTCTTCACTTTCTAGGGTATTACCAACTTTGCTTCCAAGAGATGACAGTTACTACCTTTTGCTATTTCGAGAAAAGAATTAATTTGACCCCATCACTAATCAAAATAAAATATCAGAGAAACTTTTACTTAAATCAACGAGGTCCATCCCTTTAATAATACCTGTTTCATATTATATCAACGGTAATCTAATTCTTCCTAGACTGTAAACACTAAAATCATAACATGGTTCAGGTTTAATTAGATTACCATTAGCTGTGAGTGGAATAAAACGATCAAAATAGATTGGGTAATAATAAAGCACAACTCTTAATATGCTGTATTTATCCTTAATGTCACCTAAACCTAATGTTGTTTACAGGTTCAAAGTCCTTTCGGATTCATATACACAAGAAACCGGAGAACACTACTTCTTGGGATTCAGACGGTGCCATTTGACTCATTGACACCCACATTGGACCACCAAGTGGAGTCATATTCTCTAATTCAAGATCTTCATATGTTTTTCATTGCCCTTTCATATCATAATCACAGTTCACTTGCTAGTTCATCATTTTAACTGCCCTTTGTATTTTAATTACGGGTTATTACTGATTGTTCTTGATTTTGACTTAAAAACTGAACACCTGGTACTACTTTCCAGATGCACAAATGGACACATGTTTTTTGTGTATATAATATTTCACAAAATACTGAATAGATTTGCAGATCTACATGTACTCCAGAAAAGAAGCCCAGCACCAGATCAAACTAAGTCTAAATTTTAAAAGAAAAAAATAATAATGTCAACGAAATCTAAATAGCATTGTTGTTATGTGACAAAATGTTTGCAAAGAAATACGGAATGGTTCTTGAGATCTGCTCTGGAAACGACATGATAAAAGACCAATTCTATGCAAAAAAAAAAAACAGAAGAAAATAATTTTAAAAAATCTACTAAATTGTAAAAGGCACCAATAATTAACCATGCAAAAATATTGAATAATGTTTTGAGATCTTGGAACATACAGATAGAAAAAGAAACGAATGGCTACAATACGTGTTAATAATATAAAAAGCAATATGGTTTATATATGTTGTTATTAAAGTGGTAATAAATTAATCAGCTTTTAATCATACTAATTGCTTTTTATTCATAGAAATATAGAAATTTTAGCATTTTTTAAAGCTCTGTTATATAAAACACTACCAATTAATAGAAGTCTATTTTACCAATGGTCAAATTTTTTGTGAGGGGAAAATAGCGCTTGAGTTTAATTGAAGGGCATAAACTGTTCCCCGCAAATGACCCCCAAGATATACTATTTTCCTGTGATATTACATGTACTTGCTTATTATTTGCGGTTGACAAAACTTCATGCAATAAGTTAGATGTTAATCTGCTTTTTTCACACATCCATAATCCTGTTACATGTATATCAGACTTAATCCTTTTATCCTTCATATTATGTTTTTATCATGTCACAACTGCAAACTATTTGGAAGATTGAATTTAAAACTGTCCCAAATTTTCTTTTGTAAACTAGATTATAGTTCTATCTTCCCAATTTACAAAATATTTGGGTATCTTTTACAGTTAGTCTTCCATATTTGTCATATCGCAGACAAATTACAGAAACTGTCATTGCTGAAAATTTTGTTGTTTGACTTTGCATAAAATGACTTATCATTTGGTGCTAAAAACTGAAATCTCAATTTATGGTTGTAACAAAACGTTGTGTGTTTAATATCTATAGCTTTCCAATTATCTCATAAAACTGAATGACATTAAACATGAAAATATTGATTTTATCACTGATAAATGATCACTACTCACCAGTGAATTCAGATTTCAACATTTCTGATTTCCGTTCAATATAAAATCATTATTAGGCAGACAGAGATAAATGATATCCCTGGATACCGATTTTGAAACATAATTATGTATTTAGCGTTAATATATCAAATTTCAGAAAAACTGAACATGGAAATCATTTTGAGACTATATGTGTACATGTTTGAATCACCTCTATCAATAGACCTAGAGTTTATGCCTTCAATAGATATTGACAATATGCCTGGTTTGTGAGATACTGAATACATTGTCTGTGCTGTATAAAACATACATCAGAACTTGTTATGTGTTCTGGATCTTCAGTCAACACATATTGTTTTTGTAAGAATTTTTATTATTTTTCTTTTATTTTTGCCAATTTTAGTCAGAATTTGCAGCCAAAACTGTACATGGTGCAAACATTCCACTAACGTAGATCTGGTTGGCCTCTGTGGAACTTTTTATTAAATATAAATTGGGTCATTTTTGACAGAGGAAGTGTTGTTGGATGAGTATATACTGTAAATGATCCTCCCCCTGGCGCGTGGGGCAATATTTGACAACTTTCAGTGACAAAATATAAAATTGCTAATCGCCCAAAGTACCAACAAAAGTTCTATTCTGCAAGGAAAAATAGTTCTGAAAAATACATATACATGTAACATGATTTTTCAAGGGCCATATTCTTGTCTGGAGAGTATGCACAATAAATACTGTCAGTATAAACTGGAATAACCAGACCTAGAGATT